TGGCCGTGGTGCCTCCCTCCGGCGACCGCTTCGCGCCGCGGCCGAGCTCGTTTGGAGACAACGACCTCTCGAGCGACTTGTACGACTGACCCGCTCTCGTCGGGAGAGAGGGGGACGCACAGCGTGTCACGGGCGCGAGTGCAGGGCGGCAGGGGCGGGCATCCGGACACCGGACGGAGTCGTGCGCAGCAGCCGCGCCGTCGGTTGCGCGCGTGCGGGTTGACAGCTCATCTGGGCCCGGTGGAGACGGGATAGAAAAAGCGAAAGCAGAAAGGAGAACTCCGAAGAGCGGCACATGGCGCGGCAACCGTCAGGGGCGGGGAACCCGCAATTTGAGATGCTGAGGGCATTTTGAGTTGCAAAAAATCAATTTAGATTGCATTTTTCAATTCAGAATGCCGAGTTGACTTTTCGCATTTCAAGATGCACACCGCATTCCAAAGCACTATGTCAAAACCCCACTGAGAAATTATAAATTTCTCTAGAGCTGGTGCCGCCACTAGATGAAATGCTCCACTGGGCCCCCGGAACACGCCTGCGCGGCGGCGAGCAGTGAAGAGACGCGGAAAGCTGATTTTTTTACTTTTGGACGCATTTCGGGCTCCGTACTGGTTGACGCAGAGCCGCACGCGTCGACCGGTGCCGTTCGCGACCACGAGGGCGGATGCTGGCCATCCCGGGCTCTGTGCACATCGGCAGCGCGCGTTCTACGCGCTCCCCTATCCAGATCTTGGCGCCCCACCTCGAGAGCGCCGTTTTTATCTCGTGCAATCTCGAGCCATGGAGATTAGGCCGAGATCGCTTTGAGCTGCGGGAGATGTTTGGGAGATACAGCTACAGTCACACGGACCCGCGGGGCGTGCGCAGCTCGCGACGGAGATGTTTGTAGAGCCCGGGCTCGCTGCGAAGCGATGAGCGGCGCCCGAACGGCACCGGGCCGCGTGCCGCTCTCTGCAGCTCCGACGCGGCCGGGCGGCTGCCAGAGCCGCACGCGCCGACCGGTGCCGTTCGCGACCACGAGGGCGGATGCTGGCCATCCCGGGCTCTGTGCACATCAGCAGCGCGCGTTCTACGCGCTCCGCTGTCCAGATCTTGGCGCCCCACCTCGAGAGCGCCGTTTTTATCTCGTGCAATCTCGAGCCATGGAGATTAGGCCGAGATCGCTTTGAGCTGCGGGAGATGTTTGGGAGATACAGCTACAGTCACACGGACCCGCGGGGCGTGCGCAGCTCGCGACGGAGATGTTTACAGAGCCCGGGCTCGCTGCGAAGCGATGAGCGGCGCCCGAACGGCAGGGTAGCGTGTCGACCTAGACTGAACGCGACCGAGCAGCAAGGTACTAGGAGTGGCAGCCCGTGACAGCACCGGCAATACGCTTGGGGAGCGGTAGAGCAACGGCCCTGGTAGTGGTGAACGAAGCAGCGACGGCGATGGCGATGGCAGTGGCGGCCCTGGCGGCGACGGCCGTGTTGGCGGATGAGGCGGCGAGACGGCGACGGCGACCAGGGCGACCTGTGCAGGCCGTCACGAGTCGTCACAGAGGTCGAAGTACTTTTCATCGCCTTCCAAGCCCTCGTCGAGCACGACCGCGTCCGCGCGCGCTGCCGCCGCAGCCCCTGCTCGGCGGAAGGCGTCCTGCAGCGGATGCTCGTAGGGAAGCGCGTCCTCTCGCGCCGCTGCCCGGAGGAGCCAGCGCAGCCGCACGCGCTCCTCGTGCATGAAGGCCGTGTTTGCTGCGCCGGCGGCCTCTCGCTCCCTCCTGTTCCTGAGCGCTCCGAGCGGGCTGATGCCCGGGCTGGTCGAGAGGTACTCGGCAAAGGACTGCTTGCTCATCAGCTCGTCGTCCGCGCAGTAGGCGAAGAGGCGGCGGCGGAACCAATGCGCCCACGGCCCGCACTGGTAGCCGTCGCTCTGCAAGTTGAGCGTCACGCTGACTAGCTGCCAGCCCGTGTCCTTTGGCGCCGCGTCGAAAGCGTCCCGAACGCGCGCTAGAGGATGCGTGCGGCTGAAAATGCT